GGGGGGGGGGGGGGGGGGGGGGGGGGGGGGGGGGGGGGGGGGGGGGGGGGGGGGGGGGGGGGGGGGGGGGGGGGGGGGGGGGGGTGGAGTGCGGGGGGAAGATGACTTGGACCGCCTTCGCGAGCATATAATTATTCATCTATGACATATTGTAGAGACGGGGGGTTCGCAACCCTAATCCTAACCCCCCAGTCCACAACGTAACCCCTCCTTGACCAAGCTTGAACAAGATCCTCGCGAGGGCTACTGGAACATTTGGGGTTCGAATCCAGCATCTTTCAACTCGCGCGAGTCACACGACGCATGTAAGCGTGGGTTGGCGGCGAAGCGGTTGCTGGGGGTGAGGTCGACTTCGGGCGGCGATCTGGAGAGTCAGAGCAGCACAAAAACCAAACAAACGAGGACCCCCTCTGTTTGGCGTTGGTATAACCAAGAGTCCCAACATTTGGGCATTGAGACGCCTGGAACCCGGCGTGTAGAGCCCAAACTACACCATAACGGACGGAACGCAAGCCACTTTTTTAGAGAACAGCAGAAGCTGCTTCCTAGTATGACCCTTCCACACGCGCTCCTCACGAAGGGTAGGGCTGGAGAAGGGTCACTCGGAGCTTCGTGTAGAGGGCCAGTGGGCGATTCTTTTTGCCTATTCGTACCTTGAGTGTGTGTGCAATTTTAGAATGCCGTGTGATATGGCTGCTTCGCTCCCCTTGAATTGAACTTAAAGTTTCTCAACGAGAGGCGAGCCCGATTGCGCAACTGCCATGCGCCCCATCCTGCTGTCTTTCTTTCTGGAGAAGCTGTACAAAAAGCACAACTCCGCGGAGGCCCTTATCTACAAGCCAACAGAGGAGTTGTGCAGAACGCACAACTCCGCGGAGTCCCTCATCTACAAGCCAACCCGCATTTCGTTCCCTTAGGCCAATGGAAAACTCAGGAATTTGCTCCCTCAGGGAAAGTTGTCGCTGACTGCGGTCTTCCAATAGCACGCGATGGCCTTCGCCCGTAGCTTGGGGTTTCGTAGGACAGCCAGAGACGTTGGTGTGGTACCTAGCTTCTGATTGAAAGCTGCTTGAACTTGACAGCGGGTGAGTGACACCACGTCCCACAAGCCACACAGCAGCGCCGCTACACACTCAAAGGGTTCACCGACATGCTACGCTTGCACTGGCGACTGCTGCTGGGTGCGTGCCGTGTGAAGGGGACACGTGGAAGACTGCTATCCCAGCAAAAGCTCGCAGGGCGAGGTCGTCTTGGTAGGAACGAGAATTATGTTGGCAGCAGGTAAGCTGGACTTTGCATTCGGGTTGCTTCCGGGGTCTTACAAGCAGTATCGTGGGAACCCTGCCGACAAGTTACACCCAGCCTCGAACATATCCTACATCACAAGTCGGGCGGTGCGAGCCATCCTTCCCATGCTTCATCGCTGCACAAGTACAGCAAACGATCCATGGGCGCAACGTCGCCACCCGTCGGCGCGAAGAAGGAAGGCACACGTGTCGCGCCTACGACACACAGCAACCGCACAAACAAACATGTGCGCGCGACCTTTTGCGCCCCTGCAAACCAAGATAGGTATACGCCAACCGAGCACCGACACAAGTTGATAGCACATCCACGTGTACCACATGCCAAGCCACGTCCATTGCACGATTCCCACAGCAGCCCCACAGCCAGAGAGCTGTCCTCCGCCTTGGTGCATTTCGACGTGCGGAAATCCTGCCACTCTGCTCGGCTGCTCGGCACTCACGCGACAAAAAAAAAACTCACCCCGAGCACATCGACCGCGCTGCCAATGAGGAGCCCTGCCGAGATGAGAAAGCTGCTGGGCCGCATTGTTTTTGTCTACGTGTTTCGTGAGGGTTTCGTGTAGGTGCGTGTGGGCGCGACCTGCTCAGCTGCGACCAGCTCGGGGGCTCGCAATGGCGAAGGGGTAGAGAAATCAAAGTACCAACTAACGGCCCCCTCGGGAGTATTATATTTTTTATTTTTCTGGATTTGTATTTTTGTGCCACCGGCCGGCAACGGCACCGCAGCCATCACAAGCTTGTTTTGGACCTTTGGTGCGGAGCGTCTATCCGTGCAGAAGCGGGCACACCAACGACGCCGACAGGGCAGGTATAGAAGAAAGCGATGTAGTGCGGCGTTGCAGGGTTTAGGGTTTGATGTGGCGCGCCGAGCGCAGTTTTGTAGACATTCAAGAGCTACAACGGCGACATGAGAAAATGCATGCTTTTTTCGTGGTGCGCATCTTGGTCTAAAATATACTCCGTATATGGCGACCACGTTTGCATACCATTCTCTCCCTGCCGCTCCGACTCTCACATGCTTTGACTTGTTGCCAGCGCATCGTCTACTACTGCTGTAGCCCTCAGCAGCAACGGCTGTCTCCCCCGCACGCAGTGGCCAAGTTCAGCAGTCTTGATCGGCTCAGTTCCCGCTCTCCACGCCACCGCACGCTCTCACAGCGTCCTCCCAAACACAACAAAATTGAAAAATTCAAACAAGGTTTGAAGTGGTAACACATATTTTCGATTTGATTTCTGGAAGATACGCGTGTAGAACAGCATAAACATGGTTACCCCGGAGATTCATTGCGTCTGGTGTATCATGACGGTGGCGGACCTGCGGTACTCTCTCTTGGACGATATACCGCTGTACTGCTGTAGGTCGAACCTCACATCGCCAGTTGAAGACCATGATGGCTCTTGTTGCATAGGCGCCAAATGCTCATACTGTAGTTTGAAACACTATTCTACAACTACTGCTGTACACGCCTCCGCATAGAATACCGGGCACGGCTCAATTTCGGAACATGTTGTTGTTGTCTTGACACTTGAAACCGTTCCGATCTCTCCCTACCCAGTACTTTCGTATGTCCGTACTGATCCAACACTGGACGCGGTCGACTCCCGTGGTCACAGGTTAACTTACCCTAAAAGCACACTGTACATCTGGCTGCTACCCATCTGCCGCCTCTGTATCCTGTTTGCTCCGTTACTCCCGTGCCCTGGTACGTAGTGCCTGATGCTGGGACGTTACCCTTTGATTTTTTCTATAGGCGGGTGTGGGAAGCGTCTTCCTTTATTGTTGTGTTTAATTTTGATCGGTTCCCGAGGGCTCTTTTCTTGAACGGTCGGTGCGGTAGCTGTATTTCCTTTTTATCATTTTGTTTTCTTTTTCCGACTGGTTTGTACCCTTTTTTGTTTTGTTTCCCCGCGGCGTCTTATGTGCCGGGTTTTGGGACCACGGGCTCCCCATTTTTTGTGGACTATTGAGCTAATGTGAGAAACAACAACAACAAATAAACTGGCTCCGAGGGGTCCGCAAGTCAAAAGAAATCAACGACAGATATGCTGGAGTCCTCGACTCCCTCTGCGCGCTATGTAAGGTAACAACTGAGACTAGGAGTCACCATCGCAGGCCGGAGAGAAAGTGGTACACCCCCTTGGTTCAATCTTGGTACTTCATAACTCAAGCAGAGACAGGTCACCTGGCACAGAAAAAGAGAGAAAAAAAGAGAAAAAAGAAAACAGAGAAAAAGAGAAAAACAGAGAAGGAAACCGTAAGGAAAGAGAAAACAACATGAAAAACAGCGAGGACAAAAAGGGACTAGGCAGAAAATAACAAGAAACAAGGGACAGAAAAAGGCACACGGTGGAGAGACCACTGACGAACAAGCAAACACGCAAACATGGCCACCAACCAGCCATACGTTGTATTGGTACGTCATCACTAGTGGGGGTTGGTGCAATGGTGCAGCGTTGGGCGGGGGGAATTGGCCAGTAGAAATTCAATCCGGCACGTATCGCGCCACTCGGTCCGTCTATTCTCGTTTGCTTTCTTCCCTCGCCGTCTCGTCCGTCTCCTGCCCGCCTTCCGCCCCATTGGTTGTTGGCTTGTGGTTTCGTTTGAGCGCCCGTTGTCGGCTGGCCTCTTCTTCCTTCTCGTGCCAGGATGTCATGAACCTCTCAGCTCCCTGCAGCACCGCCGCATGCCAGGGTATTCCCCCCTCTACCTTCGCGGCTTCCGTCCACTTTAACTTCGGTGCCGTGTCTTTCGGTGCCGGGATTCCGCGACAACATGGATCGGTTTTCGTTGATCCGTGGTCGGCCCCGAATGCCTTCAGGTCCTCGAGCACACACTTTGTCCAGTTCTGTTCCTGTCCCCGCCCTACGTCGCTTCTCCCCCCCTGCCAGTTCGGCGAGCATCAGTCGTTTCGGGAGTCGCCCGTCCGGCTGCCATGCCAATGCTCCCGCGAATAGCAGGCGTCGTTGGCGGATCGTGGCTTCAACGCTCTGGCATTCGACCCGCTTCAGCGTCTGGGCGTAAGAGAGCGGCCGGTAGANAGCGGTGGAGGCGGGGGGGGCTGTGATGTTGTAGTCGGGTTGTCCTTCGCGCGCATCAGGAGCGTCCCCGTCTTTTTCTCCGACACCGTCAGCCCAAACTCCCCGAACTAAACGATGATGGTCATCATTCTCGCCAGTCCTTCTGCAGACCTCGATACGACGCCGGCATCATCGGCATACGGCATCCCCCATGCTGCCCTCCGTATTCGGTCAACGGGTGTCTCCTCCCCCCCCCCC